GTGAATTCCTTGAAATCTTTGCCATGGAACTCAGGAAAGGAAATCTTCCCCAGAACCTTCTGCCTTCACCTCATTGGCCAGAACTGGGTCACACGTCCACCCCTAGCTGCAAGGGAAGCTGAGAAATGGAGCGTTTTCATTTTCTGGATTCTGTACAGAGGAAGGCTAGAAGGAAGGGGATTGGAATGGGTGTTTGAGAGGCTGCACAGATAGTTTTCTACAAAGTCTCAGCTTTCATTTCGTATCATCTCACCCTAGGTCTTTGTGTGGAACCTCAGCTCCCATGACTGACTGGTCACCAGCACCCAGTTCCTCGAAGGCGGTCGGGAGAGCCCAGTTCAGCCTGCAACCCCAGACGCCATCAATCCTGACTGGTCCCTGTGTCAGGGACACCAGTGCTGCTTCTGTCCGTTTTGCAGTTTCTGGCTTGAAGAGCACCCAAATTCAAAGCTTGTTTTCAGAGGAAGGCCCTCAGACAGAGTTGCCAGATAAAATAGTTAAGTGTGAATTTCGGATAAATAGTAAATAAGTTTTAACTATAACTATCTGCATGGGACATACTTAAAACCTTATTGTTTATTCAAAATCAGATTTAACTGAGTGTCTTGCAATTTGTGAAATCTGGCATCCCAGCACCCAGAGTCTCAGGTTCTATAGCTAGGAGGGAGCAACTCCAGAGCAGCTCTAAAACCACCCTGCTGTGTGACTTTGGGGATGTCACCTCCCCTCTCTGTTCCAGAGTCCCTATCTCTGGAGGGAACTCACCTCAAGACTCCCCCCCCAAGGGCTGGAGAAGCCTGTGCAGCTCTTAATGCCGAAGGAGGGACAGCTCCGTCCTATTCGCACTTGGCACTGCTTTGCTTTGCAGCTGTATTGACCAGGAACTAAGAACATGGCGGGCTGCAGTCCATGGGGTTGCGAGAGTCAGACACGACTCAGCGACTAAACTACCACCACCAAACTTATGTGTAGTTCTGGAGTTCCACTGTACAAAACAGAGGTCAAAATGATTGGATACTGGCACATAGGACCCAGTTCTGGCCAATGAGGTGAAGGCAGAATTAGGCTGTTTGTTCAGCCTGAGAATTAGCACATGGAGAACAAATGGGAGGAATTCCCTGGTGGTCCAGTGGTTAAGACTCTGTGCTCCCACTCCCGGGGGCGCAGATTCAACCCCTGGTCAGGATCCCCATGTGCAGTGCATTGCTGCCCCCCGCCCCCGCCAAAAAAAGAATTCTGAGATATCTCTGCCTGAATCCTGACGTGCGTCTCTTTCTAGTGAGGAGACTTCCCCTACCGGAGCCTCAGCTTATGTCCATCTGTAAAATGGGTATGTGTGCGCTGAGGATTCCATGAGTTGTATATGCCAAGTGCAGGAGCAGCATTCCTCACCCCTCTATGCCCACCTCCGTCTCCTGGCTGGAGCTTCTCCTGGGAGACACCAGCTTCAGGGTGTGTGGAGGGAGGGGCGTGGGGTAGGGGTGCTCCACCTCTGCATCACAGTGCTAGGGTCTCTGTTGGTGCCCCTGCAGGGCTGTGCCCCCCTTCCCCTTCTCTGGGAGCTCCGAGGGTAGCCTGGTGGCAGAGGGTATGGGGGCTTTCTAGGAGATCATGCTTCCCAGCCAGCTGTTAGGACCCCATGAATGACCCCCTGGGGTGGAGACCCCCGCCCCCCATGTCGCTGGCACCTGGGGACACCTGCCTTCGCCAACCCATCCACAGTGTCCTGACCGCCGGGTGAACCCAGAAGTCACGGCCGGAGAGGCCCTCCCCCTTCTCTCTGAGAAGGATCAGGGAAGGGTGGTTTTGTTTTTCTATCTTCTCACCCTTCCTGCCCCTCACCAGACCCGCCAGATTGTCCGGCCAGACCTCTCCTCTTTTCAGCTGGGTGACTCCCTGGCCCCAGCCGAAGTTTTCAGACCCGCAGAAGGGGAGGGGTTAGCAGCCTGCTCACTGCTGAGGTCCCAGGCGTTGGGGCCGCTCTGCCCCCGGCTCCACAAGGCCTGTCTTGTGCAAGCTCCCTCCTTTCCAGAATCCAGACTTGAGATGGTACAGCTCAGAGCTGGCCACCACCTCCCACACCCCCGGCGGGAGCAGGACCGTGGGGGCCTGGCATCAGCGTGGAGGAACCTGAGCGGCAAGCAGGGAGACAGGCTGCTGAGAGTCACGGCACCGGGCGGGGGGCAGGGTAGATAAGCAGTTAGGGAGAGGGGACCCTGGGCTTGTTGCTGCGTCAAAGCTGCCCCCCCCCACGAAGCCACCTGAAAGCAACGACTGCAACCTGCGAACCCAGAGGACACCTCTCTCCTCCTGGTCCCCTGTCTCACCCCCCCACCCCCTCCACCCCCTAGCCCCCAACCCCCCCCCACACACTGGACTCCTCCTTCGTCTCTTCCTCTCATCCCCCCAGCTTTGCAGGTTTCCTCTGATTTGGTTAGAGAACAAGTAGAGGCCCACCAGGCTAGCTGTGTGCGTGCATTTATTGTGCTGTGTGCACGTGTGGATGCCTTTGTACATGTGTGGTGTGGATGCCTTTGTACATGTGTGTGTGCATGAGTGCATGTGTATGCATGGATTGTGTATGTATGCACGCACGCATGTGTATGTGCCTTTGTGCATGTGTGTACACAGGTCTCGTGTGTGTGTGTGCTGTGCATGTGTGCACACATGCACGGGTGTGTATTGTGCGTTGTGCACGCGTGTGTGCATGGGTGCTCGTATGTGTGTACACCGTGCATGTGTGCATACGTGCACGTGTGTGTGTGTGTGTGTGTGTGTGTGTGTGTGCCTGTGTGAGTGGCCTGCAGGCTCGAGGAGGGGGCCCGCTGGCTCGGGAGGGGATTTAAAGCCGCTTTCCCGACTGCCGGCGTGAGCGCTCCTGATAAACAGCCCGGAGCCGAGCGCTGCCGGCGGCAGGCAGGCTGCGTATCAGAGCTCCTGGCAGGCTCGCAAAAAGCTGTCCTCGGCCCCGCGAGCCGCTCTATCAGCCCACGGAGGCGGGCGGGGGAGGAGGGGGGAGGGAAGGAGGGAGGGAAAAGTATTTGCTTCAGCCCTTAATCACAGAGTTTGAAATCCCAGTGAGTCCGTGCCATTTATTTTCAGAGGCTGTCAAGGCTGGTTTCAGCATTTAAAAGAAAGGAGGATAAAAAACATTTGCATTTCGCTCCCTCTCTGCCTACCCGCTCACTCTGCTCTCTCCTTCTCTCCCCCTCGCTCTCTGCTCACCTCACCGCCAGTGGGGCTGTGTGTTGGGGAAGGGATGCCAGAGAGAGATGTTTCAGGGTGCTCCAGGCATCCTCTAGGGTGGGGGGACGGCTCCGGTCAGAGGCAAGGGTGTGACGGAGGAGCACGGAGGACCAGAAGGGCAAGGGGTGTGGGTGGGGAGCCAGGGTCGGCCAGGGTTGCTGTTTTGGGGTGTGCTGGCTGCCGTCTGTGGGGCTCTCCTGGGTCACTCCAGAAAGGAGCCTGGGCCCCCAAATTTGCCCCAGTCCCACGAACTCCACCGGCTCCTCCTGGTGTCTGCAGGGGAAGTCTAGAATGTTGGGGCTGCAAGGGCAGCCAGGACACCCCGGGGGAACATCCTCCCTGCCCAGATAGAGAACCTAGGACTGCAAACAGAGAATGGCATGGCCAAGGTCACAGCCTGGCAGGACCAGGAGAAGGATGGAGGCTAATGGGGTATCAAGTGCATGCTGGATGAAAAGCACCGTGCAGCACCAGAGACGGGGACGCTGGACACTGGATGCTGGCACAGCGCTGGACATTGGGCAGGGGGGCTAGGCAAGGAGATCTTTGCCATCAGGAGGACCAGTGCACCCATGCAGGCCGTGCGGCTTCCCAGTACAGTGACCGTAGCCAAGGTCTTCTCTCTGACCTTCAGCTGGAGCTCATGGTACCTCCCAAGAGAACCAAAGAAATGCCTGCACTGCACTGCGGGGGTGGCTGTATCAGCAGGCGCCTCATGTGCCCACAGCACCCACTCTTCTTTCCCGGTATCTCTATTGCCTCTTGGGGATGACTTGATGGCGGGGTGACTCTGTCCTTGAAGAGGCTGGAGCACAGACCCGCTAGGTCTGCCTCCCCTGGGGCCCCTCTCTGAGACGGTTTCCTCATCAGTAAAATGAGAACAGCCACAGCACTGTGGTCAGTGAGCCAATGTGTGTGAAGATCAGGGCAGAGCACCAGGAGGTGCCCCCAACCCACCCCATCCCACCGCCATCTCTCGCCCAAGGGATGATGGCTTTTATCTCTATGAGGATGTACCCACCTGTCTCACTCCAAAGACCTCAGGCTTCTCCAGGCCAAGACTCTGCTATTTTTCCTCAGAATGCCTCTTGGTCCCAACTTAGCAGAGTGATGCTGAAAACCACCCAGTAGTTCCCCTCCACCACCACCACTGAGGCATCCGGAGAGGAGAAAACAACCCCAGCCCTGTGGATGGAGCCCCCACTTTTGTCTGAACCGAGGTTGGGAAGGAAGTTCTTGTATCTGTGGAAGACACTCAGGATGCCCCACTCCACGCCTACCACCATTTGCTTATTTTTTTAATTAGCAAAATGAGCCATCTTCATTGTCACAGCGCAGAAGGTGTAAAGAATGTAGTAAAGTCGTCTCCCTCCCCCTCACAGTTCAGCTCCCCAGATACCCAGAGTCCAGAGTTGACCACGAAGACTTCCCACGTTTTTCTGTCAATGGAAGCACATATCAATACTTTTGATAAAAGCCAAGCAGCGCTATATATCCTTTTTATTGCTTTATTTTCCTTTACACATGACTATCTCCTTTCCATGTCTATGGGCTTCCTTGGTGGCTCAGATGGTAAAGAATCCGCCTGCCAAGCAGGAGACTCGAGTTCGATCCCTGGGTTGGGAAGATCCCCTGGCGAAGGGAAATGGCAACTCACTCTGGTATTCTTGCCTAGAGAATCCCACGGACAGAGGAGCCTGGTGGGCTACAGTCCCTGGGTCGCAAATGGTTGGACAGGCCTGAGCATGTCCAGGTCATGTCACTTCCAGGTTTCTATGGGGGCGGCCCCGCTCTGTCTCGTGGCTGCAGTGCCTTCTCTTGTGCGCATGCTTCTGCAGGCGTAGGTCCACTCCCCGAGGGGTGGGCACAGAGGCTGTGTCCCGTCTTGCCCTCTCAGGGCTGCCGAGGACAGGCTGGCCTTCCCCAGCAGGCAGCGTTGCTGGCATCGGAGGGGTGCTGTCCTGAGGGTGCACGGGGCGGACCAGGGTGCCTGGGGGAGGCAGGGTCCCCCTCCCCTTCCACGGGGACAGGCTGGGGGGCCGTGCGGGGACCAGGGCTGGGTGGGGAAAATGGCCTCGGGGAAAACAGGGTCCAGGGCCCCAGTCCTCATGGAGGCAGGGGAAGGAAGCCCCTTACGCCGCTGCCTGGGGGCCCTGGGATGTGGAAGCCGCGGTGACAGGACGCAGCCCGGGTGGTCTGGGTCAGGTTCCTCCCTGCGTCCTCCCGCCCTCCCATGAGCAGGTGGAGCGGTCCGTGTCCCTCAGGTGGAGGGGGCCCGGCCTCTCTCCTCCTCCTCCTGGCCTCCCTCTCCCCTCCAAAGTGCCTCCATGTCCCAGAGGGGCACCTCGTGGCCCCAGATGGCACCTAAGTCAGCCGGGGGCGCTCTGTCTGCAGGGAGGTGGTGTCCTGGTTCTTGAGTTTGTTGTTTGTGCATCAGTGGGAACATTCAGTGTGGCTTCTGGAGACAGGCTGACCTGTGTTCCATGACACTTCCATCTGTTCCAAGCTCCAAATCCTTGAGCCTCAGTTTCCCAATCATTAAAATGGGGGCATTGACAGCACCTACTTCATAGGGTGATTGTGGGGACTGGGTGGGGGGGTCCACGCAAAGAGTGTTAGGTATTATGTGTGGGGGGTGTGTTGGGGGGGGTACGTGTGTGTTAGGTATGGTGTGTTGTTTCTGGTGCGTGTGTGTTGGGTATGGTGTGTTGTTTCTGGTTTGTGTGTGTTGAGCATGATGTGTTGTTTCTGGTGCGTGTGTGTTGGGTATGGTGTGTTGTTTCTGCTGCGTGTGTGTTGGGTATGGTGTGTTGCTTGTGGTGCGTGTGTGTTGGGTATGGTGTGTTGTTTCTGGTACATGTGTGTTGGGTATGGTGTGTTGTTTCTGCTGCGTGTGTATTGGGTATGGTGTGTTGTTTCTGGTATGTGTGTGCTAGGTACGGTGTGTTATTTCTGGTGCGTGTGTGTTGGGTATGGTGTGTTGTTTCTGGTGCGTGTGTGTTGGGTATGGTGTGGTGCTTGTGGTATGTGTGATCAGTATGGAGTGTGTGAGTTGTGTGTTATACACGGTGTGTGTGTGAAGGGATGTGGATGCGGCATGTGTGGTGTGTGTACATGTGTGTCTCATGTATGTCAGATTCTCAGCATCTTCTGTGCCCTCTGCCCCCACCAGGCACTCTCTCCATTATCGCAGGAGTCTAGACTCTGTCCCTCTCCCCCAGAATCACTGCTACACTTACATCTTCCTTGTGACTGATGGACAAGCTTTCTTGACCGGGGGCCTGGGAGGGCCCGAGGACAACCCTGGGAAGCAGAAAACACCCCATTCTCTAACCACTTCCCTTCCCAGCGCCCCTCCCCAAACAACCTCCTGGAATGCAGATCTTCATGGGCCTCATGTTCAGTGGGGTTCGGGTCAACAAGGCCGTGGGAAGTTGCTTTCACCTCTCTGGGTGAGTTTCCCCATCTGGAAAAAAAAGGATGATAACAATGAAGTCCTAAGATTGTTTAAGCCTCTCCTTTGCTCCCACCAAATAAGCACGCAAACAAACAAGCAAAAAAAAAAAAAAAAAGTGGATGGACCAGACAAAGCTCAACCCCCCCAGAGGCACGGAGAGCAGAAGGAGCTTGTGCCCAAGCGGGCCATCAACACAGATCCACATACCACACGGGCTCCTGGCATGAAGTGAGATTCTTCACTTCACTCTTCACAAGTGGGGGCCCCCACTCTCCCCCATTGTGTTTATTGACATAAACCGTTTGCCCCAGCCCCCCAACCCCGCATGGCTCTGGTGGAATTCCTAGATTTGCAGGGCAGGTTGAGCTAGGTGGAGAGGAGCTGAAAGGTGAGGTGTAGGTTCCCCAAGGAAAGGGCTCTTCAGACACACTGGCAGGGGGCACAGCTGGCTCACAGCGCCCTATGCCAACAGAACACTGTCACGGCTAACACTCATGTTCATGCCTCATCCTGAACCAGCCCCCCTCACCAAGCAATTTCTCACCGTGGCTGCCAAGAAGAGATGTGATGGGAATAAGACCCCATATGTGTGTAGAGCCTTGGGGGTTCTTCAAGGTATGTTCATAGATCGTTTATCATACTAGATAGTGATCGGGTCTCTTCCCCTCTCAAGTCCTCAGTTTTCTTATCTATAAAAAAGGGCTGTGATGCTGAAGCTGAAGCTCTATCCTTTGGCCACCTGATGTGAAGAGCTGATTCGTTGGAAAAGACCCTGATGTTGGGAAAGATTGAGGGCAGGAGGAGAAGGGGGTGACAGAGGAGGAGATGGTTAGATGGCATCACCAACTCAATGGACATGAGTTACAGCAAGCTCAGGGAGATGGTGAAGGACAGGGAAGCCTGGTGTGTTGCAGTCCATGGGGTCACAAAGAGTCAGACACAACTCAGTGGCTGCATAACAACAAATGATGATGAATCAGTGAGCTAAGGATGTGAGGTTGCTGGCACAGAGCCCCACGTTTGGTAAATCTTAACCAGGGGAAGTCTTGTGGCAGGTGGTGCCATTGTTCCCAGTGATCCTGGGCCCTGAAAAGGTGACGCCTCCCCGCCCCGGTCACTGACCCTCAGTGCCTCCCTATGGGCAGGGCAACTTTCACACACTGGCACACTCACAGACAGCAGACTTGGCCATGTGAATTGCTCTGAAGCCACACACAGCATACCCCATATGCATACATGCAGCACACACCACACATATAACATATAACACACCACCCACACCAGGCATGTGTGGGACTGCCCTGGTGGCCCAGTGGCTAAGACTCTGCGGTCCCAATGCAGGGGGCCCGGGTTTGATCCCTGGTCAGGGAACTAGATCTCACATTCCGCAACTAAAGCTCCTCCATGCCACAACTAAATTAATGGCTCCAGGGCAGTCAAATAAGATAAATAAATAAATATTTTCTTAAAAGATGGCATGTGAAGCAGAAGGGCAAGCAAACTGTGGCCAACATTAAACCTGAATGAAAATAAATCTTTCCCATGGTAATCTACTGATATTTAAGGGATATTTGCTATGTAGCATAACCTAGCAAAATCTGACAAATACAGAAATTGGTCCCTAGAAGTACTGGTGACAACAAAAAGTTGTAGCCCCTCCCTGGGAGTAGGTAACAGGTGACAAGGAGTCAGTTAGTGGAGGCAGGAGACAAGGCTACCCGTGTTATACAGTGGGGCTTCCCACGTGGCGCTAGTGGTAAAGAACTCACCTGCCAATGCAGGAGACCTAAGAGACATGGATTTGACCCTTGTGTTGGGAAAATCCCCTGGAGGAGAGCAGGACAACCCACTCTAGTATCCTTGCCTGAAGAATCCCATGGACAGAGGAGCCTGGTGGCTATGGTCCAAAGGGTCACAAAGAGTCGGACACCCCTGAAGTGACTTAGCACGTGCTGTTCAGCGGGAAACATTTGGGAGGCTTCTTGCCTATAATAGCTTTACAGAGCTGATACTATACAGCACTTGTGGTTTTAGTTGAAGACCTTGGGAAACAGAAATGTCTGGAATATCCTGGTTGCTTTTCACTACCTGTCATGGGTTGAATCAAGACCCCCGGTTCACATGTTGAAGCCCTAATGCCCAGGACCTCAAAATATGAGTGTGTTAGTCACTCTTGAGACCCCACGGACTATACCAACCAGGCTCCTCTGTCCATGGGATGCTCCAAGCAAGAATAGTGGAGTGGGTAGCCATTCCCTTCTCCAGGAGATCTTCCCGACCCATACAGGGTCCTTATAGAGGTGATTAAGAGCCAGTGAAGTCATCAGGGTGGGTCCCAATCTAACATGACTGGTGTCCTTCTAAAAAGAAGAAATGTGCACACAAACACATACAGAGGGAAGATGACGTGAAGACAGGGAGAATATGGCCCTCTACACACCAAGGAGAGAGGCCTGGAACAGACCCTTCCTTTCCGGCCTTCAGAAGGAACCAGCCCGCTGACTCTTTGACTGTGAGAGCCAGCCTCCAGGACTGTGAGAGACTAAACGCTGCTGTAGTTTGTTACAGCAGCTCTAGCAAACTCATACACTGCCTTGCACACACACTGTAGAAAAGAGACGCCCTCCAAAAGGAATGAATCTGCTTGCAAGCAGGAAAGAAAGGGAAAATCCAGAAATTATGGATGTGCAGGGTTGAAAAAATGCAACTATTTCTCATCTCTATTGAATGAACGAGAAAGGAAGCAAGTGCTCAGAGGCCTGGAGCCCATGGGAGCACGCAGAGATGCCATCAGGAGAAGGGGGTCCCCGTGGGATGCTGAGCTTGGGCATAAACAACTCCTCCCCAGTGGAAAAAGGCACATCCCCAACTCTGCAAACAGCAGAAATTTACTTTCTCCCGGGCCTGGAGGCTGGAAGTCCAAGATCAAGCTGTCAGCAGGCTTGGTTTCTTCTGAGGCCTCTCTCCTTGGCTTGTGGACGGCCGTCTTCTCATTGTGTCCTCACGTGGTCTCGTCTCTGTGTGCACGCACACGAGCCTGGTGTCTTTGTGTGCGTCCCTCTTCTTATAAGGACACCAGTGGGTTAGGATGCACCTCAATGACCACCTTGTAACTTAGTTACCTCTTAAGATGTCCCTGGCAGTCCAGTGGTTAGGACTCTGTGCTTTCACTGCCCAGGCCCCAGGTTCAATCCCTGGTCAAGAAGATGCGGCAAGCTGTGCGACTCGGCCAAAAATAAACAAACGAACAAGTAAAGAGATCAACAAAAAGTTAATTGCCTCTTATAAGCCATCTCTAAACACAGTCACATTCTGAGAGACTGATAGGTAGGACTTGGGAAAGACCCTGATGCTGGGAAAGACCCTGATGCTGGGAAAGACTGAAGGCAGAGGAGAGGAGGGAGATAGAAGATGAGATGGTTGGATGGCATCACCGATCCGATGGACATGAACTCGGGCAAATTCTGGGAGATGGTGAAGGGCAGAGAGGCCTGGCGTGCTGCAGTCCATGGGGTCACAAAGAGTCGGACACGACTTGGCAAGTGAACAACAACAGTGGGATTTCAACATACAAATTTTCGGGAGACAGAATTCAGTTG